CATGTATAGTGTAATCTGTCACAAGGTAAGGTGTAGTAGGTTGGAGGGATGGTTGACAATCTTTTGTGTAATTTATATATACACAGTTGGTAGAGCCAGCCGTATATATCAACCAAGTGGATAAAAGTTTGAATAGATTCTTCTGGTTTTTTGATCTTCATCTTGCTCTTTCTCTTTTGGTTAAAATCCATCATGGTATCAGAGCTGTACTGATCTTTGAAGCGGGACCTGTGAGATCAAAAAGAAGAGAAAACAAGTAAGAAACCTGAACATAAAAAACCTTCATCATATCAGTCGTAATATAGGATCAGATCCAGATGGCATCAACTGGATTTTCAGCACCTTTACCTTCGGTTTTCACAGGAGAGAACTATGACTTTTGGGCAACAAAGATGAAGGCTTATTTAAAGGCTTATGACCTGTGGGAAATCACAGAATCAGGTGTTGAACCACCGGCCTTAAGAGCAAATCCTACAATTACTCAACTGAAGCAACATAGTGAGGAGGTTGCAAAAAAGTTCAAAGCCTTGTCTTGTATCCAGTCGGCTGTGTCTGATGGAATATTCACCAGGACAATAACCTGTGAATCAGCAAAGGAGGCCTGGGACAGGTTGCAGGAGGAGTTCAGAGGCAATGTAAGAACAAGACAAATGCAAGTCTTGAACTTAAGAAGAGAATACGAAGGCCTGAAGATGAAGGACACTGAATCTGTCAAAGACTATACTGATAGACTGATGAAGGTTGTGAACAAAATAAGGTTGTTAGGAGATAACCTTCCTGATAGGAGAATAGTGGAAAAGGTTTTGATAAGCTTACCAGAAAAATTTGAGGCTAAGATATCATCTCTTGAAGACTCAAGAGATCTTTCCACTATAACTTTAGCTGAATTGATAAATGCTCTCCATGCCACTAAACAGAGGAGGCAGCTGAGGCAAGAAGAAGAACAGGTCGAAGGAGCTTTGTTTGCAAAAGGGAAGTACAAAGCTCAAACAAGTCTTAATATGAAGAAAGCAGGATCTGAGAAAAAGAAGGGGGAAAGCAGCAAGTCTGCTGATACAGCAAACTCATATCCACCATGTCCACATTGCAAAAAGACTGGACATTCACCAAAATGGTGTTGGTATAGACCAGGAGTTCAGTGTCGAAATTGTAAACAATTTGGTCATGTGCAAAAGGTGTGTAAATCACAAAAGGAAAGACATGATAAGAAGCAGGCTCAGATGGCAGACGATCAGCTGCAACATCAAGAGGAGCATCTCTTCACTGCCAATAATTTCAATGGCTGCAACAGTGATAAAACCTGGTTACTGGACAGTGGCTGCACCCACCACATGGTCTCTAATTCAAGCACCTTTTTTGAATTAGATCGAACATATAAATCGAGGGTAAGAGTAGGCAATGGAGATTATGTCAAAGTGGAAGGGATTGGAGTGATTGTTGTACACACTCCATCAGGTATTAAACGAGTTTCAGATGTTCTTTTTGTGCCTGAAATTGACCAAAATTTAATTAGTGTTGGTCAATTAATTGAGAAGCAATATACATTGATTTTCAAAGGAGATGGCTGCACCATACTTGATCGAAAAAATCAGGAGTTGATGTCTGTTGAAATGAAGCAAAGAAGCTTCCCTTTAGAATGGAAAAATTTGACATCTCATGCATACTCTTGTACTGATATGAAATCTACACTTTGGCACAAAAGGTTTGGTCATGCAAACTTCACTTCACTTAAGCAAATGCATAAGATGAATCTTGTTGAAAACTTGCCTGACATATGTGATGATAGCTGTGTATGTGATATCTGTCAACTTGGAAAGCAAGCGAGACTACCATTTCCTAAAAATCAGTCAAGAAGAGCATCAAAAAAGCTGGAATTAATACACTCTGATGTTTGTGGTCCAATGAGAACACAAACACTAAATGGTAGTAGATACTTTATACTCTTCATTGATGATTTAACAAGGATGTGTTGGGTTTATTTTTTAAAGAAGAAGTCAGAGGTTGCTGGTGTATTTCAGAAGTTCAAAAATCTGGTGGAAAATGAGTGCAATTGTAAGATCAAAGCCATCAGAACAGATAATGGAACTGAGTTCAAGAATGATCAGTTCGATAAGTTCTGTAATGCTGTTGGAATCAAACATCAGTTGACAATACCGTATTCACCACAACAAAATGGAGTTTGTGAAAGGAAAAATAGGACGGTGATGGAGATGGCAAGATGCTTGATGCTTGAGAAGAAAATTCCAAAGGATTTTTGGGCTGAAGCTGTGAATACAGCAATCTACCTTCTGAACAGATTACCAACAACAGCTTTGAACAAACTAACTCCTTTTGAGGCTTGGTATGGAGTTAAGCCAAATGTCTCGCATTTGAAAGTGTTTGGAAGTATATGTTATACTCATATACCTGATGCAAAAAGGGATAAATTGAGTCCAAAGGCAGAGCTTGGAATTCTAGTTGGCTATTGTGACAATGCAAAAGGGTATAGAGTCTACAATCCTCAAACCAAGAAGATGATATCCAGCAGGTAGAACTCTTGCAGGTGTTTATGCCAGATGTAATTCAGCCATGTTGGAGCCTTCAAACTTCAATGAGGCAATGAATTCACATGATTGGATGACTGCAATGAAGGAGGAGATTAATATGATAGAAAAGAATGAAACTTGGGTGCTAGTTGATAGACCAAAAGAAAAAAATGTGATTGGTGTTAAATGGGTGTACAAGACCAAACTGAATTCTGATGGGTCCATTAACAAGCTCAAAGCCAGATTAGTTGCAAAGGGTTATGCTCAACAATATGGTGTTGATTACTCAGACACATTTGCTCCGGTGGCTAGGTATGAAACCATCAGATTACTGCTGGCAATGGCTGCTCAAAGTGGCTGGAAAATTCATCAATTGGATGTGAAGTCTGCCTTCCTAAATGGTTATCTAAATGAAGAAATTTTCATTGAACAACCCGAAGGCTTCTTGCTGGAAGGAAATGAAGAGAAGGTATATCTATTGAAGAAGGCACTATATGGATTGAAGCAGGCTCCAAGAGCCTGGTACAGCACGGTAGATGAGCATTTGAGCCGTCTTGGTTTTGTGAAAAGTGTCAATG